AAAAAGCATTACATGTCGAATGTGTATCTCGTCGTGTGTCATCACTATAAGGGATTAGAGTATAATACACTTTACATATTATATAAGCTACACTAACGTGACGTTTAGGCGGTTCGTTTAACTATTATACATGATGTACGTTTATTGGGGGGTGGTTAATGAAAGTGTTCCAAAATGCGACATTAATTTCTTGACGATCTAATACTTAACTTGTAGAGGTTGCTTAATGTTCTTTCACACACAAACATTGTTCAAATAATACAGTTTCTGCTATTAATCACACAGCAGCAGATGTATATAGCTCTCAACTAGCATCATCAGCAAATTTTTACTTACTACAAGATATTTCTTAACACTATTATATGTTATTTGGGGGTTTGATCCCAGAACCTACAGTTCCAACTATGGATCTGAGGCTGAACAAGTTTCAAGTTGTTACAGAAGAACCATGCAAAAGGGGGGGTTAATAAGTTTGTCCAATAGATGAAGATTTCTTACAAAAAAAAATTCTAATTCTATTAAACAATATGTCTTGCTAATTAGTTTATCTATTAAAGGTGAGGATAATCATCTCCAAATTTACACAAAAACATCAATGTTTTTAATATATCATTACTCCTTGAAAAAAAAAATTAATTTGGTCTTGCCTTACTATATATATATATTTTTTTTTTCTTATAAGGAAGAGATGTAAGGTTGAGTGTAAATTTAATCAGTAATAGGTTTGTAAAAAGTTAAAATAAGTATAAAAATATAAGATGATGCCATCTCTGTTACTATTGTTACTGTTGTCAAATATAGATATTTTAAAGACAAGGGGCTTGAAAGACAACTGCAGTAAACAATATGTGGTGTGGTAAACAAAAGATAGCTATAAAAATAATTGTTTTAATTATTAATGTTTGTTGGGATTGTTTGGTACATATATTTCCAAATATAGAATTAAAATAAAAGCTTGTGTTAATTAATCTGAATTAAATTATAAATATGTCTTCTGTCTGATAATTAGCAATGTGTAAAAGCTCGGAAAGGTTAGGAGCCTATACCCCAAACATTTTAAACAGGAAATTCTCATCCTGACAATTACATTTACTAGCTGAAAGATGTGCCTTGTTTCAGTAAGGGCAAACAGTAACAGCCAAAGTTGTAAGGTATGTGCTTGGAATTTGGAAAGTATTGACTTAATAGCACTAATGTTAGTTTAGTGTCCAAAGCTTAAGATGTTGGAGCAGATGTATTAATATTTTAATTGTTATACATTGCATTTAATTTAAATTCTTTTCTGACACAGAAAGGAAAAGATAGGATGGATGAAAGACAAAAGCAGTATGCTCATAGCTGCTATGTTGAATGTTTTTACTATTGTACATTGTTATTTCTTCAGAAATATACATGCCTGTGGTTGCTGTTAGTGTTGTAATGGTAAGAAAAGAAATGGTGACATTCATATTTTTGGTGATTGGGTCTAGACTGTATCCATGATAAAATTGCATGATTAAAAAGTCAATTTGTTTAGCTTATCTTAGCTACCCAATAGTCACCAAGAGTATCTTCAGTTAAAAAAATGAACTTGGAAAATAATCTCAAGGACATTAACATTTGTACTGTTTTTTTTTCCCTCATGAAAACTAAGTATCAAAGTTATTTATTATTAGAGAACTGAATAGATTATCTCTCATAAAGCCATGACTTTTTATAAATGATTTTTTTTTCAAATAATGTATTTGAGCTTTTCAGATAATTGGAGCATGACTCTTGAAATGACTTCTGAAAGTACTTGCACTGCAGTTTGATGTATTTTATTAGTAACTTTGTAAAATTATCATCATGAAGAATATTGGAATTGTATCTTGAGAATTTGGCAATCAATAATAATTTAGAATTAGAAATAATTTATTTTGAAGGAGGATGTTTTAGATGTTATATTTATGTCAAAAGACTTCTCAAGGAGTAAGCTTTTAAGTTAGGTTCTTATGAGTTGAGTGGAAATATTTGCTAAATATGTGAATGGATTATTTTGTGTAAGCTGAAATTTTGTAAGGGTAGATAGTGGTATTCTTTAGTCATTTTTCAAATGTGTCATGTAAAATACATGCAGAAGTTCTGGAATTGATTATTGATTTTATAATAATACTCAAAACAGTATAAGTGATGAACATTATTGCTTTATAATTGATAGCAAGAATGTAGTACATAAATAATTTTGATAATTTCAGATTTTTGTGTATAATAATCAAGAAGGTAAATGTAAGTTACTCCAGTTGAAGAGAAAGAATGGCATCCCCTTTTCGGCATTCAGTAGGCCGAGGAGACCAAACGTATTCAACAACGCAACAATCCTACCCAGAACCCTCACCTCAGGGGTTTGGTGGAATTACTGGAGGACCCCAAGGAATTGGACCAGTAGTACCTTCAGATCAGGCATCTATGGGTGATAGTGGAGGGACAAGTTCACTGAATGCAGGTCCAGATGGTGGACAACCCACTCCAACTCATCGGGATGTTAATATGGCCATTTTATGTCGGTTAGGTCAAGAAACTGTTCAAGAAATTGTTTCCAAAACAACAGAACTCTTCCAAATTTTGAAACTTCTACAGGTTTTTTTCTTTTTTTTTTTTAAATGCCAGAAAGCCACATTTATAGCAATATTATCTACTGATTCATGTAGTTAACATTGCACATTATACATCTGTGTGCATATACTTTCATTTACTTTAAATTAGTTTTGTACAACTTTCGTATAGTTTGATCATCTGTATAATAAACTTTTGTGTAATTGTATTTGGTAATTAATTAACCATGTTCTAGATAACAGCCAGGTCTTTAAACTTCCTGAAATTATTATTGTTGACTACAGCTTATATGTACATGTAAGAATGTGTTAAATGGACTTCAAAATTAACAAATATACTCAATGTTTATTAAGTTTGGCTTGTGTAACAGTTATCTTTATGTAGTAATGCAGGCTTTAATGTGCCTGTGAAAGTCTTTTTTTTTCTTTTTCTCTTGTTTTTTGTAGCCACCAAATGGAACATTACAGAGTATGACAGGTCAGGAAGAAAGGAAACTGAAACTTCAGGAGACTTTAAAGGCAATTGCTATTATGTTCAAAAGATTAAGAAAAATCTATGATATATTCACTGAAAACTCTGCAGAGTTAGAATACACACACATTGATGTTCACGTAAGTACATTTCTTTTTGCAGTGACTGGACATAGGAGAGTTGAGTTTTATTATCATACACTTGAGTTGAAATTTTTTTGGGGGGGTCTCATTACTAGAAAATGTGAATTTAATAAGTTCAGAAATGGAAATAACTTTTATCACATTGTAAAACAAATTTTTTGACACCCAACACATGCTTTGATGGAATATTACACACTTTAAACCAGGTGAATAAAAGTGTAGTCCATATTATAGCATATGTTTCACTTCAAGATAGTTTCTAATACAATTAATTACATTTCTTGATTTGACTGCCCTCTAGTACACAAATTTGTGCTTGCCCTTAGCCTTGAACTCCCATCTAACTCCATGCATATACTATGTGGTTCAACTGCATTTAAGTATGCAAATTAGCATGTGACAACCCTCCATCAAAAGGAGTGCAACACACCCTCCTATTGCAGCTGACTCCCTCTATGCAGTTGTACCCACTCTTCACTTCTCAATTTGGCACAACAATGTTAATACCTAGTGCATTATTTCACCTTTCTTTTCTTTAGTGTATTTTGAAAATATTTGGTTACTGAATTTTGCAATTCAAAATATTGTTTATAATCCACTATTGAGTTGGATTTTTATTTGGTTATGAATTCTGTCTCTCCCTCAATTACTGGTAGTCACTCAATATTTTTGAATTCATCATTTACTATTATGACTACAATGGCTACAGATGGTACTGATGTTCAACAGTGGCTGCAGGTGTGGCATTATCGGTGGAGGAAGTGTCAGCTGTAGTTTGTCAGAAGATGTTTTTTTTTTTTCATGCAGGCTGAGGGATCTTCCAATCTACAAGCAATTCTGCCATTGCCTGGGGACTTGGACAGCTTCACCCCAATCCTTTTGCTGTGCAGGCTTTGTTGACACATGCAACATGCATCTCCCCCTCCCACTGACTTCCTTGCAAGATCTTTGATCAACCCCTTTTCTGAGATCCACTATCTTTGGTGGGTTTCCTGACATCTTGAAGTCTTGTGTTGAATCCACTAGATTGTATACTTTCCTATCTTCCCTTACTTCCCATTGTCCCAACCTTGTGTTGAATCCACTAGACTGTATACTTTCCTATCTTCCCTTACCTCCCGTTGTCTCAACCTCCTCCTTCTCCAGTTCCTGTTTTCCATCCTCCTCCTTCCTGGACCACATCTACATGTCGTACTCTTGTTCACCTTCACCCTGTATGACATCAGCATTACCAGTGACTACCCTGTGGGAGTCAGGTTTGCTCATTTCTCAGAAGTGTGGGAGACTTATCACTGATCCTTGGGTTATTCGAGTTTTGTAAGAAAAAACTATCCCTCTTTTTCCTCACACTTTCCACCTTGTTCCCTGTCACAGTTCATCCCCCCCTTAAGATCCCATTTCCCATTAGCATCTCACACAAGTGATTCAAGTCCTTCTCATCATGGGTGTCATCAGACAGGTTTCTCTTGTGTTTTCTTGGTTCTTTTCCTGACTTGTTGTATTCCCCAAGAAGACTGGGGATTGGCATCCTGTGATTCATCTCTCCTGTCTGAATTGTTTCCTCAATGTGCCTTGGTTCACTATAGAATCCTAACTGCCTCTCAGATGGGCCTTTCTTCCAGGGCTTTGGATAACAAGTTTTCATGTGTCTGTCACTTATCTTCACAACCTTCTGCTCGGGCTTCATGTCATTTTCTATGTTTCATCCATGAGGATCATGTTTATCAATCCCATCATTTTATGAATGGCTGGCTTCTGCTCCCTCCATCCTTTGTAGGCTTCCTCACACATCCAACTTCTCCTCAGAGAAGCTGATCGGGTGGGTTGGTTTATGAAGGTGGAGAAGTCTGTTATCTACCTCACTCAATATCTTGTTCATAGAGTGTTTTTGAACTCGGATCATTGGCATTTGAGCAGAGACCCTCTGGATTTATAGATATCACTTCCTGATTCCTTTCAGTCTGACTTCCTCTGGTGGTTAGACAGGGACAACATGACTCTGGAAGTACCTATTCCTTCTACTCCTGTGGATGGCCATGTCTTCACAGATGCCTTGTTCTCAGGATGGGATATATGCTACATTACACAGAAGATCTTGGGCCATTAGTCTCAGGAGTGGTTAAATCTTCACATCAACATTTTGGTACTCTTTGATGTTTGTTGGGCTCTGTGGTGCAAGACGCACTCTATCCTGGTCCTTATGTTCCTGAACTCTTGATCTCCTCTTCTTGGCTCAGATCCATCAAAGTCATGTTGCTGGCTTGTCACATACCAGATGCCCTCAATCTTGTTGTAGATCGTCTGTCCAATCCTGACAAGATTCTACCCAAGGAGTGGTCTCTCAACCTCCAGGTGTTCTGATGGCTATATTCTCAGTTGGATACTCCTCAATTAGGTGCATTTGCTTCATTTTTGAATGCCTAGCTTTATTTTGTTTGGTGCCCAGTTTTACATTCTCTGGCTTTGGCCTTGGATGCGTTCAGTCAGGATTGGAAGGACCTTTCCTTTATGCATAGCCTAGTAACTTCTCTCATCCAATCCACTCTGTGTTGGGTCCTTTTTGTGGCTCCTTTCTGGCTGGCTCAGTCACGGTTTCCATCTCCCATTTTATTTCCAGGAATAACCTCCATTACCTTTCCCTCTCTCCCAGTCCCTCCTCTGGCAACCTTACTCAGTGGAATTCATTTCTCCGTTCCCACGCTCTGGCTTCATGTATAGCTTTTGTCCAGTCCGTTGCAAGTGGTTTCGGGAATATCCACATGTGTAGCATCCCTGTTGTCTCACACTGTTTGTTTCTCATCCATGACTGTGTATCAACATACATGGAGAGTATTCCATCATTAGTCTATCTGGCATGGATTCTTCCCTTCTCCAGATATCTGTTTTTACATGGTTCTTTGAGAGGGGTCTGCCATTTTCAACCATTGCTTGAGATAGGATGGACCTTTCATTTTCCTGTTTTTCCATGTGTTTTCTCACCAGTGATTTCTCTTCCATATCACATATTTACTCCCACTTTAATCTGGATTGTCTTCTGTGTCCAATCGATGCTTTATGGTGTTATATTTCATGCAGAGCACCCTTCCATTTGTTTATCTATTGGAATCTGTCAATTTCCTGTGATATTCTCCTATCACTCCTACTAGTTGGGTTTGTCAGGTTATCCATATTGCATATTCCTTCCTTTCTTCTGAATTTTGCCAGTTGTGTGTATCATACCATCTGATCTGTCACATACCAATGTTCTTAGCTGTTCATTTCTGTCATTCTTTAGAGGCAATATTATCCAAGCTGGCATGTGGACCACTTCTCACACTTTGGTGTTGCACTATCTGGCAGTTTCCTGCTTAGCCAGATGTTGTTTTTCCCTATAGCTATTCTCCATACGTCTGTATGACTCTGAGTGGATAAGTTATTTTTGTTTCTTTTTTTTTTTCAAGGGCCTACTTCACATGCTATGAATCCTGCTCCGTGGCGAGTGGTGCCTGTCCAGGTATACTGATATCCAAAATCCACACCGTGATATCTATGAAGTCTATCATGCTCACTGTTGAGATGGGTGTTCCACAAGACTACCTGCAGGTTCTTTCTCATGGTTTATTGTTCATAAATATGTTAGTACTGGACCCTACACTCATGGACTAACATGAGTAAAACAGAAAAAGATTGCTGCCCATCTCTAACATTCCTTGGATTGCCAGAATCATGAACGATCTGCTTTTCAAAATAGGGTTTTGTGGTCACTTCCTCTGTTGATACCTTCTTCCAGACTCTTCAATGCATTTCTTTGCCCCTTTTTTTCCAGTGGAGTATGGGAGTCTTTACCACTTCCCAGCTCCTAGCTGCTGGGGTGGTGGATCATGGAGGAATCCCCCTGAGTGTGCACAATTCAACTCAGTTGAGAGTAGGGTAGTGTCGTTCTGCCTGTGTAGAAAGTGGAACTACCCTCCTGCCATGGGTCTGATGTTTTATTCCAGATGCTGCCTGACTGGACTGAATTTTTCAATCTATTTTGCATTTTGACCCTCCGGCTGGGAACCCTACCTCCCTACTGCTGCCTGGATATCAGTTTCTGGGTAAATGGTTTTGATTGGAGATGGACCAGATAAGTCCTCGTATGTGAGTAGGCTAGGAACTTCATCCTACCGTGGACTGGATATTATATCCCCAGTGTCAATTGGTCGTGGAATGGAATTGACTCTCCACATTGCATTTCCACTTTCATGATGTCATCTGGATGTAAATTCCCAGGGTTTATTGTTCCAGGTTGTTGAATTTGCACACATATTTGTTTAGATTCTTGGAATGGAGGCTCCTCTTTCCTTCTGGTTCCTACATCTGAAGTGAATGGTTGAGGACCCTCCTCCTGCCAGGGGCGAGTTGAGTTTCTCCCAGTGCCAGTGGTCTGGACTGGAGTTGACCTCCCGATTATTGTATGACATGCCTTAGCCTCTCTACACACATTTCTCTTACTTTATGATTTAGGATGGATCATTTATTCTGCTCTTTGATTGCACAACACAATACCAGTTGGCTCCACTTAGGCAAGGAGTATATCTTGTTCAGATGTAGTGCAGTCTCCCAGATGTGTGTCTCCTCTCCATTGAGGTGGCACTCTCCATGGGGGCTCTTCAGTTGCTTTTACACTAGTCTCTCCACCTGCTCATTGTGGGATTCTAGCTGTAATTGTGAGAAGAGGTATGTAAATGTATCAGAAGTTAATATTTTCTTACACTGGAAACATATTTCTGATAGATACTTACTTCTGCTCATACTTCCCATTTGTCTTCTCCATTTCCAGTGTTGATTTTCATGCCTAATGTCAAAGTGAAGATTGGGTTCAACTGCTTAGAGGGAGTCAGCTGTAATTGAAGTATGTGTAGCACTCCTATTGGTGGAGGGTTGTCGCATGCTAATTTGCATGCTTAAATGCAGCTGTTATACAAGTGGAAGTAGGTGGGAGTTCAAGACTAGTGGTGAGCAAAAGTGGCTAGGTA